TAATAGACAAATGATCGACATGGTGATAGGCTCTCTGCTGGGTTCCATTTTTCGTAGATTTATTTGTAAGTAAACTAGAAAATGGACCATTGAACAACCTCATCAGAAAATTCTTATTTTACTGTCTGTCTGTCTGTCTGTTTTCGACATAGAACTTTGCACAAATGTGCGGAAGTTCAAGTCGCCACATTCCGTGTAGCACGCGAAGCAAGAGAAGAAAGTACAAGAAAAGCATAATAGAAACAGTGAGCAGAGGTGTGAGACAAAGGAGTAATAAAGAAATACAAAACAGTTTCATTGGAGATCATAAGTCACAGGGAGTGGATGCATCTGCGCCACTGAGAACGATTTTGAGCCATGTCACCAATTGTTTCCAACCATAGATTTTTACCGTCCCGAGGACCCCAGCCTGGAAGTCTACACCTTCCTACGTGGCTAAGACCAACTGTTGTGGATTTCATTGACTGATGCCAAGTTTTTGTTTGACCGCCGCTAGCTTTTTTCCAGCCTGACCCTATATCCGCTAACATTGCTCGTCGAGGGAGGCGATGACTTGGCATACGTAACACATGTCCTAACCATCTCAGTCTTTGTAGCTTCACGACTTCGTCGATTGATTTCCCCTGTTTACCTAGAACTCGACGCCTAACCTCCATGTTGCTCACCTTATTATGCCACTTTACACGGGAAATAGAACGCAGGCACCTATGATCAAAGACAGCTAGTCTTTTCATGTCTTCCACTCTCAGTGGCCAGGTCTCACAACCATAAAGGAGGACGGAGCGGACTGATGAGCAGTACACCCGCCCTTTGGTCGATAGTCGAACATCTCGTCTACGCCAGAGTCGGCGTAAACTAACAAATGCGAAACGAGCCCCTTGTATTCGTGCTGAGATTTCGTCAGAGATCAGCCCGTTGGGGCTGATGGTACTTCCCAAATAAGTGAAGCGGTCAACGTGCTCTACCACTTCACTTCCTATTTTTAAACTAGGCGTCGATGTAGTCCAGTCCTGTAACATCATCTTGCATTTGGCGGGAGCGAATCGCATGCCAAACATTCGTAGATTGCGGCTCAAGGTGTTTAGAAGACTCTGCATTTCGTCAGCGTCTTCGCCTAGAAGGACTATATCGTCTGCATATTCCAAGTCAACGAGATTATTCCCCGGTAGCAAGTCAATCCCTGAGTCGCTGAAGTCACCTAGGGTTAAGTCCATTAACACATCTATGATGAAGTTGAATAGAAAAGGAGATAATGGGCATCCTTGACGGACACCACTGGTCGTCATCAGTTCAGATGACAGCTCGCCGTAAGCCCTCACCTGGCTGTATGAGTACGAATAGAGTGCCTTAATCAGTGCAATATATTTTCTTGGAATTCCCTTTACAGCCAAGCATCTCCAGAGAACTTCCCGATCGACAGAGTCGAATGCTGCCTTTAGGTCAAGAAATATAATGACTGTTGGACGCCGGTAGGAATGCCTATGTTCTAGAATCTGTCGGAGGGTGAAGATATGATCAATACACCCTCTTCCTGGTCTAAAGCCTGCCTGGCTCTCTCGTGTTTGTGCTTCCCGAGCACCACTCAGTCTACGCATGATTATTGAGCCTAAGACTTTAGATACTATATTAGTCAAGCTAATCCCTCTGTGATTATCACAGGAAGACTTGTCTCCCTTCTTGTATATGGGGATAATCAGTGACTTACACCAACCCGATGGGACTTCTTCTGATTCCCAGACGCTGCCTAGTACCTCAGTTAATGCAGACAGTAAACTGTCTGTCCATACATGGATGACACCTTCATTCTTTATGATAATGTGATTCAGAAAGGAGCACAATAATAACTCTCCATTGAACGAAATACATTCCGTTATGGCTATCATGTGCTAAAGAGGAATTTCCAAATAGAATTACTGCCTTCCTAGATGTCCTTCTTACAAGAAAATTAGATGGTAGTATAAAGAGAGAAATTTGCATTAGAAAAGTACATGGATAGGACAGGACAATATACACATAGCTGCTTCATAGCTTCGTTCTTGTCTAGTACAAAAGAAGTTTAGTAAGGACACTCAGTCACAGAGTTACAGCTATATGCTCAGAAGAGGTGATTCAAGATGAACTAAGGATCTTTTATGATACCTTGATTGAAAATAGCTATCTAAACAAATTCATCAGGAGATAAATGACTAAGAAAGTTGAAAAGGACTATTCACTATCCTTAAACAAGAAGCCTTTATATATACCATTGGAATTTAAGAGCGATATACCAAGCGAAATAATTACGAAGAAGTTAAGAAAATCATTTCAAAGAACTTTTACTGCTGGCAAACTATAAGTCTCATTTTCTACACTACCGATGATGATTCCTCGATTGAAAGATGAAGTACCCAGACTAGCTACTTCTAATTGTATCTACCATTTCAATTGCGCTTGTGGTGGGGTGAGTTATGTTGGCCGTGGCTTTAGGAACTTGGCTTTTTTGTGCTCGGTTGGGAGTATCTCCCAATATGGCTAAGTAAAGGTGTAGTGTGATAACCGTCACCAACAGTTCGATATTAGACCACCTGATCCAAAGTGGCCACAATATTAACCTTGAGGAACTCTTCTCTATCATCTATCGGGTACGGAATAAATATCCGGAAACGTCGAAGAACCGGATGCTCCAAACAGTAGAGGCTAATGTAATTTGCCTGAAACAACTGGTTCTCTCTCTCTCTGTGTGTGTGTGCAAAAGAAGCAAGTCCAGCCAATACTTCTGCCCTGGCCTTCAGTGGAGATTATAAATTCATGAATTTATATTCTTATTTTTTCCTAATTTAACTGGTATTCATTCAGTGTGTTGTTATGTTGATGGTGTCGAAATGTAATCCACTGACATTATTATTATTATTGATTTGATGTTATTTATATAACAGTAATGTTCCATATTAGTTTGTTTATTAGAAGTACCACACAGTGATTTTTTTTCCTTCACTTTCCCTGTGGAACATAGGGCTTCAAGCTATTGGCTTGAAGTTTCTGTAGCTTTGTTTATTTTACAGGATGGGGTTGCTAGCCTCATGCCCAACCTTTCCTCTTTACCAGCATTATTTCTGGTTCAGCGAGGTAAAGGAGTGCGTCTGTGGCCGGGGATCGAACCCCTGGCCATGTGCATGGTCGGCGAGCATCCTAACTACTATACCACCAACGCACTATCTCACAGTGATGAAACAGTATTATTTACTGGACGACGATGCCTTTCGAGCAAAATTTATTTTTCACAATCATATCAATTTTAACCACACGACTGTGAAACTTGAGTTTTATAGTTTTCTTTGTCTTCTCCTATTTGTCGTCTTTGGGGTGGTAGAATTTCCCAGATGTCCGACTGGACAGGTGTATTTGCAGTTGATTCGATAAACAAAGCTTCTTTTATCAATCTCTCCCTCCATTCACCCTGTGACATTAGATTTTAAAAGTGTCATCCTATCCCATCCTATTGTATAGTTGTGTGTAGCTGCACGTGGTGTAGTGCTATAGCTGAACTATTCTCTAGATTTCCTATCTTGTTTGGGTTAACCAATCTAGATTTTGCTAGGTTTTTATGCTCGGCTAGTCTAACTCACTAACCCTGTTCTACTAGTTTGACCTATGGATGTGACCTGATAATCATTCCAGCAGACAGGGTATTAGATAAACTAAATTGTTCTACTACCCTTGCGACAAATAGGAGAGGACAAAAAAAACAACTATAAAACTCGAATTTCGAAGTCGTGTGATTCTAATTGATGGAATGATTATGAACAATAAATTTTGTTCGAAAGGCGTCTTCATCCAGTAAATAATACTGTTTCTGTGACTGTGTGATACATCTTATAAACAAACTAATATGGAATTACTTACTACCACAATGCTTAAGTTTTACACATATAACAATAATGTTGTTAATAGTAACACTAATTCATTCATTCACTATTATGCATGTATATATAACTGTAGAACCTGATGATGATGATGATAAAGTTCACTCACCATTCTTTTGAAAAAATTGTAATTGATCTATGTAACTATGATGCATTGCTCTGAAACAGATTAGCGCAGATGCATTCACTTTTTATTTTTTAAATCTCTCACAGATTCATTAAAATCTTCCTCTGAAGAAAGCTGTCTAGCTCTTGTTTAGATAACCTTTCGATCTGGTTAAACAAACAGAGAGTACTGCTTGTGATGATCGTAGCTTGCTGCCTTTACTCCTTTCACTCAGTGTTGAATGCTATTATCATACTGTCTCCTTTAGTTTGAATAAGCTGATTATGTTGTTTCAATGTAGAGGGGAAGACTGTAATTCTGAAGCAGAATTCGAAACCAGCTACTCGCCGAAGACATTGGCTAGCGGTCGTGCTATGTCGTAAATTAACAGAAATTAGAATTCATAGGCTGGCCATTGAATTGAGTCCCGGAGGCTCATTGATCTACGAACTCACTGACCTCGTAACCATAAGGTCCTGGGTTCGAATCCTGATGGTGAGTGTGTACTGATGAAGAGTCTCAGATTAAGGCGAAACAGATTGATGTCGAGTACATCCTGTGACTGGTTTTCTAATGGTTCTCTAAACAATGTCAGCTCATGATGAAATCCTGTAACCGGCCATCAGTCAAATCTCTACAAACCAATCATTATGAACTCCGGAAATTTACCGACAGTGTTTAGATAATAAACAGCTGATAAACGTGTCTTCACCTAGGTAGATATTACTGTCGGATGCTGTGAGTATCTTTCCAATGTCATCAGGTGAATTAGGTCTGAGAAAAAGTAGCAATCAGCTGGGTAATGTTCTGTTGTGCTTGTTTGTGGCATGGTGTGTGTCGAGGTGTTTGTTCTCATCTACTTTATCCCCATGTTTAGGTATCTAATCTCTCTCTCTTTATTTTTTTTATTCTAATGAATGTACTATTCAATGGTTAATTGAATTTTATGCTTCTTTAATTTTTTTCCATATATATATTCATGTGATGATCAGACGTGTATTCGATGATCTTGTGCGTAGTGGTCAATTGATCCCGAAACCAGATCATTCACCTAGAACTGTACCAATGGATTATTCATGGGCAAAAGTAAGTTTAAGTCTATTTTGTCGTTGTTGTTGTTGTTGTTGTTAATGCTGATGTTTTCTTTTAGCCAGAGTCTTTTAGGCACTGCTCATCAGTAAGAGTTGTAGCTATATACCTCAAATGATTTCCTGCAAACACTGGAAGATATGCAAGTGGAAAGCAACAAGTTGGCGACAGAAGAAGCATCAAAGATAGGAGGGGCGACGACTTCAGGTGAACATAGAGAAAACAGAGTTAGGTGATGACGATTCCTGGTCAACACCGACAACAACAAACAAAACAAAAGACAACAATCAGCCAGCATAAATGGGAGGAACCTAAAAGAAACAACCTCCTTTACCCATCGACCTGGGAAGCATCGTTTCAACTAGAGGTGGATGGAATTGATGAAGATATCAAAGCAAGACAAGCTTTTATTACTCTCAAGTAAGTCTGTGTGGAGGTCAATAGAACTACTCAGCATGAGAAATAAGATCTGGATTTTCAACTCTGATGTGAAGTCCGTGCCACTTGCTATACGGATCAGAGACTTGGCCAGCGCGTCATAAAGAGCACCTCAAACAAACTACAGACCTTCATCGATCGACAGCTGTCTTCGCTCAATACTACTGAAGATCAGATGTCCGGTCAGAAAAGATCAGGAACACAGGGATCTCTTGCAATGAGCGAACCAACCCAGCAGGAACCGATTGTGCAACAAATAAGCAGGAAGAAATGTTTGAGGATTGGGCATACTCTGAGGAAACCAGCAAGTGATATCACTCGACAAGCCATTGATCTAGTGGAACTCGAAAGGGAAGTGGCGATTCAGTTGGTCGTCAGTGCAAGCTTGACTTGGGGAGGTCATGTAAAGTGGATATGAAAACATGTGGGCAGACTTGGAGCAGAGAACCGAATTCGATGGAGATGCGCGGCTGTAGTCCTATGTTCCTCTAGGAATTAAAGGATATAATGATAAGAATATACCTCAAAAAAAAAGAAGTACCGACGAATGTTGTCCCCGCGAAGTGATTATACTGAGATTGTTCGTCTTCTAATCAGGACGCTTCGATGATGTTTTAGGATTTCACTTGAAGTATTTTGATGGATGGATGCATGATGATTAGCTGCAGTGGCATTCACCTACCTAGATGCTCATTTTGTCCTTTATTTGGAATTGGTCTCAGCTGTTGCGAAAAACAAACTTTGCACACATGAGTTTGAATTTCAGGGGAGATTTACTGGCTGACTAACTGACTAACTGGTTTCAACGTAGAACTCAGCACAGATGTGCGGCAGCACTTCGAGTTGCCGCATCCCCATTCATTGTCAATCACTTTCTTCAAAAATGTGTATTGTCTAGTTTTAACACGAAAAATATCTGTAAGCATCAGGCCAAGTAGAGTGAGCCCAATAGTGATTCCATCTTTTTGTAAATATATTTCATTATTATCAGAGAATTGAACGTTTAGGGCGCCGCTTCTCAATAGGAGTTCCTTCAAATATTCATTAAGGTATACCAATTTTGATTGGACACTAGTAACTAACTAGTATGCTGTGTGTCTAGTCCTTTCGTTGTTTAGTGCAGACTGAATTCTATCAGTCAGTCAGGTAGGTTTGTAATGTGGCCGCCACCCACGCCATTAGGTAGCTCACCATCACGTTGCACATTGATTTGATGGTATATTAGATAGTTGTAGGCAATTGGCAGGAAGCTGATGAGTGTCAACTAACACGAAACCTAGGTTAGGCAGAGCTTCCTCTTGGCGATTACCTCCAATTATCTATCTAATAAGGCAAACCAATATTCATATTTCCCCTTTGAAATCACTATTTTCATATATTGCATATATGGATTGGCCATACGCTGAGGAAACCATCAAGTGACATCACTAGACAAGCCATCACTCGAGTGGAACCCGAAAGGGAGGCGGCGAGTTGGTCGTCCAAGGGTGACTTGGAGCAGGTCATGCGAGGAGGAGATGAAAGCATGTGGACAGACCTGGAGCAGGGTGAAAAAGTTGTCAGAAAACCGAAGTCAATGGAGGTGCGCAGCTGAAGCCCTATGTTCCTCTAGGAACTAAAGGATACAATAATAATAATATTGTTTCGCTTAGTAGAGGATGTTGTTCTTAAGCAATGGATACCACTTTGTTTCTGTTATGTACTCGTCGCCAAATTATTGCTATGTACTGGTCGAGAATTTAATAGTCCTGACGCAAGAAGGCGGAAATCAGAAGACCACTAGGTTTGCGATGATACTTCTATTTTCCAAACACAAGAAGAAGCAATAAGTGGTATCACACCAAAGTATGAGTCACACAAGATTGTGTGAGCGAAATATATATGAATGTCGAGACAAGTGTGTGAACAAATCAATGGACAGTCTTAACATGAATGGCTAATTATAATGAAGTATCGATCCATATATACATGGCAAAATATAGCAGACATGTCAACAACCACACATATAATATGGATATATGTCACCAAGCAACGGACTGTCAACAAACACTCATATTATATATAATATAAGGGGAATATACATTGATAAAGGAGACAGGTTCATCAAAGTGAAATGGTCATAGACTAAGCGAGCAAACACAAAGAGAGATCACCATGCACATATATAATATATATATATATATATATATATATATATATATATATATATATATATATATATATATATATGGATACATATCAGTTTCTTAAAGTAATCTTTGTCGATTTATCGTAATTATGATGTGTGTGTGTGTGCGTATATGCGGGTGTTTCTCGTTTAATCTCTCTCTCTCGCTCATCTCTCTGTATGCTTTAAGTCACAAGTGTATCAAATTTCTGTTCACATATTTACTTCTTTGTTTGCTTTATTTGTCTGTTTATAAGTCCGTTGATTTTGATCTAAACCCCCTATTGAGTTTACTCTCGTTTCTTCTTAATCCTCGATCGATGATTGTATAGACTCACTTACATCGACTACTAAGTATTTCTCTTAATTGTTTTTTTCATTCTTGTAGTTTATGACAATCCTCTAATAGGCGTGTATGTCTGTTGTGGTGTGTGTGTGTGCGCCAGTGTATCTGTCCGTTGCTCTTGTTGCTTAGTGTTCCCCTACACACCCACTTTTCCTTCTTCCCTTCCTTATTTTCCTCCCTTCCTCTGTTCTGCCTGCCTACTCAATTTGTCGAAGTTATGAAAAGAGTAGGCTTGAGGAGTCATTTTTTGAACAAAGCAGGAACTACAGTTTTAGCAGAATAATGTGGTACCATCATTTATTTCGTTGGCTTCTCATCAGCTGCTTACAGCCTAAATAAGTTATGAGGTTTAAGTACAGACATGTTTTAACATACTTGCAAATTTTACATGTTGTCAGTTGACAGAAAATTCCACAATTAGTAAACAGTGCTCAGAAGTTTGCGCTTATATAGTTTTCACACAGGCAGTTCAGGTTAAAACAAAATAAATGTATGCAGAAAATGGTAAGAGAGTTACGTAATAAAGATGAGATATGTGTTAGATGCATAGTGACTAGTAAGTTAGGTAACAATGAACTGAGTTGAGCTCTAATCATAGAAACAAGAGACAAACAAAATTACAGATTATAGAAAGGGAGGGTGAGAATAGAGACAAAGATTACGTAATCAGATGAGAGAAAAAAAGCATCCAGTTACCAAGGCAAGGAAAGACTAATAACTGCTTCTTTCTGAACACATAGATCAGGTTTCAAGCGTTTGATAGAAATCGCTTCAGCAAACTTAAGGAGAATTGAGCTCTTTTGCCTATTGATAATTTTGAACGACTTTTCGACGTCCACCTCATGACCCGTGTCGAGGAGATGCCTGGCGATGGCACTGTTTAGAGCATTTGTTCCCTTTAGACGTAAGCTTTTTGGTACGTGTTCAGAAAATCGTAGATATGCCCTTCTTTCTGTTCTTCCAATGTAACTGCTCCCGCAGATACACGTAAATTTGTATATACAGTTGGAGGTAACATGAGAAGGATATCTATCGATTTTTGATTGCACCAAAGAGCAAGTTGTTCGATAGATGGGAACGAGCTTGGCTGCAGGATAGGCTATGGCTAGTGATGTACTCAGCCTTCTGTTGATCATCGCTGCAATGTTTTCACCTTTATAGTCAAGCTGAACGTAGACTGGCTTTTTACCCACTGTGGTTTGTTTTACATTTGTGACTTCAGATCTTCCATACTTGTTGATGAACTTTTGAGGATACCCATTTCTCTTCAATATCTTTTCAAGGAACACCAACTCCTCCTCTAGTTTCTCTATAGAGCATATTCTCCTCGCTCTATAGTACAGAGTCTTGACTAGACCCCGTTTAAAGCTATTTGGACAAAAGCTGTTAAAATGCAAGTATTGTCCTTTCCATGTGGGCTTTCGATAAATTGACTTTTGAAGACTACCGTCTTCTAGGCGTTCCATGGCGATGTCGAGGAAGTGAAACTTTCCGTCACTTTCATGTTCCATAGTGAAATCAATATTGGCGTGTGCACCATTGAATAATCTTAGTAAGTGTGAGGCATGGCTTTCATTTTCGCACACTATAAATGTGTCATCAACATAACGACAGTAGGAAGATGTTTCGTCAATTGCATGTTTCAACTTTGTTCTTTCGAGGTTTGACATGAATATATCTGCTAGAACAGGGCTAAGTGGACTGCCCATAGCTACACCATCTATTTGGCGGTAAAATGTGTTGTCAAATTGGAATTGCACATCCATGGTACACATAAGCAGTAGGCGTTTGAATTCCGATTCTGGGAGTGGGAGAAGATCGGACTGCTGACAAATGATCTCAACAGTTTCATTGATTGGAATCATTGTGAATAGGGAGGTTACATCAAATGACACCATGAATTTATTTAGAACGTTCATGTGGTTCACACTTTCAGAGAAATGAAATGAGTCTTTCGCCGTGTGCACGCCTAGCCGTTGACGAATAGGTTCCAACTTCTCCGCAAGCCAACGTGCCACCTTATGTTGGGGCGAGTTGATCATCGAA